TGTGTGTGTGTGTGCCAGTGTTCGGCTGGTTTGGCATGCCCGTCAGAGAGCGGGTTAAGCCGCAGTCCTTTTGCATGCTGGCCGGTGCGGCGCGAACGGCTCCGGCGCGGGGATGATCTTTGAATTTACAGTCTACACGTTCCCGCGGGCGTGGCTGGGCGTGGCGCTGCACCGACGCGTGCGTGGGTGGTCGCCACGTCGCCCAACGGGAGAGGCTGCTCTGTGACCTGGCCGACAATGTTAGACCATAGATTTGTGTATTTCCTAAACACCACCTGCAGCACTTTTGTGTTTCGTCAGTAGAATGTCCGTGTCGAGGATCAAGAACAAATTGCCCACCTTTCAGGCGGCTCAGTTAAGATGACCCGGGGGAGGGGGGTGAATTCCCCCCTTTAACATCCCCTCCACCTTAATCCGCGCCTGTGCCTCCTATTAGCTCTGCGGACGGCGCTCTGCACTCTAAACTGATTGGATGCGGCTGCTGTCATACGAGAGCTGCCACTAGATCTCGTGCCGAATCCCACGGCTGAACGCTTCCAGTCCCAGCTGATGTGCCGCCTGCGGCCGGCCGCTGCTGAACCCCCTTCCCCTGCCGCACCTCTCTTCCTGGGTGCGATCCAACACCCACTTACACGCCCCGCCACGCCCCGCCACGCCCCGCCACGCCTGTCGTCGGGGATTTGCGGCGACACGCCGTCCATCGTCCGACGCCCCGCAGCCGTCGCGTCGGGACGCAGACGCCGCCTGACCAAACTGTGAAACCTGACGCCCGCTCCGCTCAGCTCCGCTTTGGCTCGGCTGCCGCACATAATCTGCATGCCGAGCCGCTACTTATGGAAAAAGGCAAATTATCCTACCCCTGCCATGTCAAAATATCGGTCGTAGCCAAGGTCGTAACATACGAAAGGCAGCCGACAAAAGTACAAATCTATGGGATGGCTAGTGTCCACGTTCCAGTATGAACTCTTCAGCAGCTACTTTTTGTCAGAACTCTGAAAACAAACTACGGGAGCTACGGGACAACTGTCACATAGTTGCAACAGGCACGAATCCCCCCACTCTCTTACAACCATTGAACAGCCGCGTCTCTGCAGCAGTAGGACATATTGTCCCATAGTTGGAATAGCGAGGATCTTTCTACCAAAGAATCCAAACGCCGTTCGTGTGCATCCTATAACAAACTTACAACTGATACCCGGTTGAACGCGTGGGCAATCAGTGCTCCTCGAACACAGCTCATGAAGTGTCCAAGGTAGCACCGCGGCCGCCAGGACCGCGGCCAGGAGCCGTCACGCGGGGAGGCAGGCGAGGCGTTGGGTACGGATGTTCACGAGCGGCCCGCAGCTGGCCGCCGTCTGTGGCCCTCCCCGTGCACCCTCCCTTACCCTACACCTCGGCGCGGCCGCGGTCGGCCAGGCTGGCGCGGCGCCTCGTGAGCCGAGCGGTGCTGCGCCGTGACGTCACAGTGCGCTGGTCAGGGACGCCAGGGACCTCGGGGACACGCCCCTCCCACTGCTGCCCTCAGCGATACCCCACGACGGCCCCTCTTTCTCATCCTCCCCGACGAGCCCTGCCGTGAAAAAACAACAAAGTGTTCATCCCGCCCGCGGTAGTGTGAGTGTGGCGGTGGTGCGAAGTGCTCACGCTGCTCGCTCGCACGCACGCAGACGCACGCTCACACACTGTAAAAAATTCTACAGCATATTTCCTATAAATGTGTAGACCATCGCCCCCCGAACGCGATGAGGTTCGCAAAGCACCCGCAATGTCACGGGTCGGCGCCGGGCCGCCGGCCCCGCCCCGCGCCCCGGACCCGCCGGGGCGAGCGCAGTCTGCTTCGCCTCCGCCAGCATCGCGCCCCTTTGACACTTCACCCGGGGCCAACGACCCTGACGGCGTCGTCATACAGCCGCGGCGCCCGCGGCCTCCCCGGGGGTCCGACCGGGACCGGGGTGTTTCGGGCGTCAGGCTGGGGGCCCGCAGGGTGAAGGGGGGTGCTGAGGAAGGGTGAGGAGCTCACAGACAGGTCATCTCCCTCAGCACTCCCTTCCCCCGTTCCCCCGTTGTTGTGATAGCCGACGCGGCCGATGCTCTGCTCAGCATCACCATCGCACTGGTCTGCGAGGAGTGCGGGACGGTGGTCATCAAAGGGCAGGATGTCCTGCCGCGGCCGCGGCCCCGGCAGTGCGCATTGCCGCCCCCCCCCTCGCCCCTACCCTCCGGGTCCAGGCGCGCAGCCCGTGGATATAGGCGACTGATTCAGAAGTTCCGCATTTCTACCTCCGTTCTTGTCGCACTGCGAATGGAAAGCCACTGCCTGCTGGTCGTATCGCCAATTCTGTTGGATTTGGAAGCTGTTTCTAGCACGGACCTCTGATACTCACCTATAGAAAAATAGAAATTTAAAAAAAAAAAAGAAATAGCCCACGGGGCTTAGACTAGGCCACAAAGTTCCTCCCTCAGCTTTTCGTACATGGTCGTGCGTTGAATACCTGCAAGTTCTCAGCTTAGTTGTTGTCACTTGCACGTGTTCAGTTAGCTGCACTTGGTTTATCAGCAGTGTACACACGCCTGGACCCGTCCCGCTCCCGCTCGCTGGCAGGCCGCGGCTGTTGCGCAGCGTCACCCTCTGCACCCTCTGGGCAGGATGATGGGCGTCATCGGCGTCCTCGCGTCACGGACGAGAGGCAGCCGTCGTCACACGCCCCGCACCCTCGGGGCGC